CCCCCCTATCGACTTTTTCACATTGATGTCCCTTCCCCTCTGTGAAGCCTGAAGTCAACTAAAGGGCTAATGATAATCATCAAAACGTCTGCCATTTGATATAAATAAATGTTTCCGAGTCCACTATAGAGGCCTCTCAAAATCAACTCCATAGAATGATCTGAATAATTACGTGGACTGGAAAGAACAGTTAATTTTTCCAAAATTGTCAGCAATGGCATCAAAGGAGGGTGGAATGAATAATAAATGAATATTGAAGAGGAATTCGGATTTTGAAACGAGTGGTATAGAAACAAGAAAAACTTCGACTATACCCGACTTTGACTGCCATATTTTATTCAATTTCTAGACAGATAAATTTAAAAAAGTGACTCGTGTACATTAATTTGCCATGAGTAATAATTCGTGACTATGCGCTCTAGTGAGACCTGAAGAATTCAACCTACAAAAAAATTGAATTACGAAATTCAAAACACTATACACTACACTATATCCCACAATACATCCAGACTTGTAACGAGGCAAACCCACGCTGTGGGAAATTGGATTTGACCGAGGTTTCTGTGCAAAGTCAAGGCCGAACCAGAAAATCGTGAATATTTGGACATCAATACTCGCTGGGGTCTATGTCACTTTACTAGACTACCATTCGAGTGAAATCAACATCTTTCAGCAGATAACGGACTGTCCAACTAGTGGACTAAAGGCCACAGTTGGGTATCTGGAGAAAGTGTTCAAGCGAATAGAATGTCTGGCTGAAGGCATTAGAAACTATGGTTTCCATCTAAGTCCAGTGAAGTGTTAGTTCTTATCGACATCAGTCAAAAATCCGGACTTCATATTTTATTAGGCCTTCCATCTAGATTCTAAACCCCATCTCCAATCGATGCCTGAACTTTTCCTTCATTAACATGGATTACTTAGTTGCTGCAGCTTAATTCTACAGTACTTGAGTGAATTTCCTGAACCATTGAAACAACATGGTAAGAGTTTGCGGACTGTCAATGAGGGTTCGAGAATTTAATACCCACACAGCCATCAGAAAAGCTTCTGGCTCACAGAAATTCAGATTAGTTGGTAGACATTACAGAAAGTGCTTCGAGTTACGGAGCGGCGCCAATTTCTAGAGGTGTTTGCATGGGCAAAGCATGGACAAAATTTTTTCCTTTGCTGTGAATAGCAAACCGTTATTTTAGTTGTGATTATTTTTTAAGAGAAAAGCATTGTTGTCACGCAATACTTAGGTAATAACCAAGCTTCAAGGTTTTTTTATGGACAAGATTGAACTGAGATTTGTAAAGGAGACATTCCATATGAAAATCCATATGGCAATGGAAACCCGTAGATTTCTTTCTCATTTTTCGATTACAAACCTCAAGATGAGCTAATCCCTGCCAAACATTTTGACAGAAAAATAGTTAATTACTATATCATATGAAGAGAACAATAGATTAATTATTTAGCAATCTTGTATAGCAATATATATAAATTATAAGTTCATTACCATTTCTTTTTGAGAAACAACCAAATGGATTATACTTAACAAATTCGCTATTGTTTTACCGCAAATATTTTAGTAACAATTTATGCAATCATTCAGATGTGAATAAAATTGAATGACCACTGTGAATAAAGATAGGTAAGATATTTTTTTATTTTTAGGAACTTCGTGCAGAAAGCTGCTTTCCAATTAGATGATTATTTTTAATTTCAAGTAGGGAAAGAAAAGAGGCAGATTAAAAGTAAAGAAAAAAAGGTGCAAAAAGCGATCAAATTTCTTCCGTGAGAATTTATCGTAAAGCGAATTATTATAAGAAATTACCTTATTCAAAATGTCAAAATATTGGCATTTAAAGTGATAGCAAGGGGCCTCTTTAGCTGAGTAAAAGCATGAAACTCTAACACCGCAAACTATGATTAACCTCAAAATGATGCTAAATATCATAATATACTGGGTGAAATTGAGAGAACTGAAATAAAGTCAAATAATAACCTCTTCCAGTTGCAAAATAAGAAATACTAATTTTAAGTAAACATATAACAATAATAATAAAAATTAATAACACAAATGACGCAGGGTGCAAAATTACCTTTTCTATTTAGAAAAGGGAAACAAATAAATATTTTTTTATCTAATTTATTGCATGATTAAAGCAATTACCTGATCAAATATATCGAAAACCGTTGCACTGGGTTGATGGATAGTACAAACGACAGTTCGGCCCTGTTTAGCTACTGTTTGTAGTGCAGCAATGCATTGAAGACTAGCAGCGCTATCCAACCCACTAGGAAAAAATTAAAAAGATTGAACATTTAGAGGAGGAAAGAACATTCAATCACTTGAAATGAATACCTGGTTGGCTCATCAAAAAACATAATCGGTGGATTATTGATCATTTCTTGGGCAATCGAGAGACGTTTTCGCTGACCTCCAGATAGATTAGATGTTTTGGTATGTCGGGTGTCAGATAATCCTAACGTTTGTAATATCTCCTCGATCTAATTAGCAAAAAAGAACCGAAAAGTTGATATATCTGACATACGATCAACTTTCTTTGATCATCCGGGCAACTTCTTGGAAGGTTCAGCTGCGAGCTACAAGTCATGGCCTCTTCAACAGTTAGCTGCGATAAAAGAGGAGCATCTTGCATAATGAAACACGATGACCGTCGAAATGAAGCTAGATCTCTGGGTTTACCATTGACAAATATTTGACCAGAAACATTTCGTGTTTTAAATCCCGCAAGAATATTCATTAACGTGCTTTTTCCGGCACCGCTTGGTCCCATAAGAGCTACTAATTCACCACTTTTAAATTGACCCGAAACAGATTTAAGAAGAAATTTTGGCTCTAAGAATTAATACTAAAGAGCGTTTCTTACCAAGGCCACGCCCTTGGAAAACAGCGCAAACTAGATCCTTAAATTCAATTGATTTTTGAAAATCACTCTTTGCGTATTCTGACGCATTTTGAGATTGTGAATTTGCAATCGATTTGCTATCAGGTTCACTCGAAACCTTCATTGAGATTTCCAGATCATTGTCATTTTGAGTAGAATCTGTCATTTTATTACCAGGTTTTAACAAAGTCGATCGTGCGCGCAGCATATTATCAGACCATAACTTCACCACATACAACGCGCCTCATCCTATCAGTGAAGAAAATTCTGTCAGTTGGAAAGAAAAACAAGATGTAGGTTAGTTTGTTTTTTGCCGTAAAAATATAAAGTCGTTCGAGTTTACTCTTGAGAAATAATTTATTTAAAAATAAAATTATTCATAAGTAAATCATTAGAATTTTGTCATGTTGTTGATGTTATAATATAATTTTATAAGTCGTTACTCAGCATAAGTATTATAGAATAATTCTCACTATGTTTCTAGAACTCTGATTATGAAAGTAATGTATTTATAAATTGCTGGATAGGGAAATATAGGCATTTCAATATATAAATTTAATTGGAATGAATTTCGCATCTTTTCGAATGGTTATACCATTGAATAAAAATTAAGTCGTAAACATATCCTTCGAAAATAAATAAAATCCTCAGGGTATTGTAAACACTCAGAGATGGAGTTTGAATCTTTAACTTCTTTAAGTATATACGAAAAGGAATATCGTTTGGAATATTACAAACCTGTAATTGGCTTGATTGATTAATAGCTATATGCTGGGACTTGACAACGTTATATTATAAAATTTATTTAATGAAGCTCACTGGAACATAATGGCTTGTTGCAGAATATTCTCATAAATTAATCAATGAAATGTGATTGCGGTGGTACCCAAGGAAACCCTCTCGAAAATCACTTTTTAAGTTAATATAGTATAACAGTGAGAAGCAATGGACTTCAGATAAATTTAAATCTATGTTCATATTCTTATTAAAGAAATGTGAACTTAAGCGGTTATACTGGATTGTTTATTACGTTTGTCGAATATTTAATTAAACGTTATTTGCGCTAATACTAATCGTCGGTACTTTCCTTTTGTGCATTTACATATAAAATCTTAAAATAGTGTTACGAACTTTAATCATGGGGAAGCGCTTAAATAAATGTAAATTGGGGCAATTAGATTTGAGGATATACCAAACTCTTCACATTAGTGTCGAGTTATATAGGTAAATGACATTGTGACCAGTTTCATTCAGTCTTATCAAATCCCCACTATTTCTTACGTCTTATAAAGTTTACTCAGTTGCTAACATAGATATCAGTAAATATCGCTAATTGCAGGCATTTATGGGCCGCAAGCTCCTTTACTAAATATTCCCCATTACTTGATGGTGGCATTTCACAAGCACTCTTGAAAATTGTTAGTTGTACTCCAACCCCCTTTGCAATATTCCGCCAACCTAACTGATTTAGCTTATTCTAATGCGAAAACATATCCAGTTCCTTTTCTAACCAGAATCCCAACTTCGACTTTGTTCCTAATTTTACTAAATAATGCACCTTGGCAGACTCAGTAACCATTCATTACTTCGTAAATATTTTTCATGCAACGTTTTCACCATTTATTTTATAGACCCAATGCGTTATTGTATGTCCATACTCCCTAACCATTGACTGAGACGATGAGCGTCTGCGATCCACTTTTATCTTTTTTATTCCAATAAAGGCCTTTTCACTCTTCTAGCGGAGTTCTTGCATGAAGGATATTGTTGTTTTCAATAGTATTAACTGCTGCTGATTCTCTATTCAATAGAAATAGACGAAGCGAGAGATTTCCGAAAACAAAAACGAAAAGAAATATGACACCCTTCTATTTACTGCAAAATATAAATGCAACTTACAGTTAAAGAAACACCAGTAAGAAAAAGAAAGTGTGAACCAATAGCAAACATTACTCAAGGAATATAAATCAAGGAGATCAAAGATCACGCGGACTTGAGGTTCACCAGAGCCAACACCGAAAAGGACAGGCACTATTACCTCATCCAGTTACAAGTAAAATCAAACACAGCATGAAACCATTAGTATAGTTTCGAAAGCATGGGTAACCTTGGAGCTCCAAGGAAGTTAGACTTCGTCTTGAAAGCCCTTCCCACTCCTTACTTCTATAGAAGATCGGAAGCATTTAAAATGGCCTGATTAGAAACCACAAAACAAAAATAATCTTTCACAAGATTAGCCCAGACGAATTTATAAGAGAAAGAAAAACAGCAAAACACAAAATTAAGAAAGTTTAGTGCAATCATGCCTTTATTGAACACACGAAAAATTATACGACAGTTGAGTAAGCTTCAGGAAGGAGTGTAGGAGAAACTGAAGGACATTTATGCGAGTTTCTTGGCCTTTTGGAAAAGAAGATCCAGACTGCTGCTGAGACTATGTACAATGTCCATGGCGACCTTGTAATCGCGACCATCATAAGGCTCTTCACGAAGAACTAGCATTCCCGTTCCCTGATCCAAAATGCCTACAGACCAGAACTAGCTCGTTAAGATGATCCAATAACGGAAAAATGCTTTTCGGTTACAGAAAAGAGCACACTACTTACCGTTAAGCTGCTTATCGAGAATCATCTGGGAGAGTTTCTTTTCAACGTTTTCCTAAAAGAGACTTATCACAATACCAAAGACAGATTTTCAAGAATTTAAGCAAATAAGATATCAAAGACATACCAAAGGTAGGTTGATAAGTTTAGCAATATGTGCGATTTGTACACGAGAGTAAGGTTCGATCAATTTGGTCAAATTTTGACCCAATAGGGTATCATAAAAGGTATTGAGATGTTGGGCGATTACTGGATCCCCTAGCAACTCAGCCTTATACTTTTCTCTCAACTAAAAGACAAGGATGGTGAAGTAGAAATTTTAAAATCGAAATATCATAATACTATCTAACTTACACACAAAAAATCTCCTAATGATCTGTCTTTGGCAGCTTTCGCAACTTCGCGGATAGCATCGATTGATTTTTGAGAATAACCTGACGCTAATTTCGAGGATAGGATTACCGGTACTTCCTCTGGGCTAAATATATATTAAGCAGCAAGAAAGCAAATGTTTGACATAAAATAAAGCATTCAATCAAAAGAATTATCTACATACCTGTTGACCATGATTTTAGCCAAGCACATGTACTTCAAAGCATCGACAGCTTTATTTGAACTGATGGAATCATAGCTTTCGAAAGCTTCATAGAAATACGAGTAAGCAGTTTTGAAATCGCGTTCATCGGCAGCATGAAGAATACCTAATTATACATAACAATCGAATTAAAACCAAATCTCTGCATTTGGAGGAGGGAAAAAACACGAGAAAACAACCTGAGAGCAAATCAAGAGCGGCCTGGAGACGTGGTGGGCAGTAGATGCTATTCGCTGTTGTACGAGAAGAGGTGAGGGCAGCCCGAGATTTCTGTAGGTTTCCAACGCGGTAGTAGACTTGACTTTCCATTAGCTGAACCTCAACCAAAAGGATTTTGTCATCAAGTTTCTTTAAATCCTTAAGAAGAGTGCTTCCTAAATCAAATGAAATATTCGCAAGTATACTCGACACAAACTGAGAGAAATCGTAACGAATCATGTGAAGCCACTTACCGAGCCTTAGTGACTCCTCATATCTTTCATTATCAGCGTACAAACCCATAAGCCTGGCTTCCAATGCTTGCCTCAGGAAAGTCCGCCTTTCGGTACTTGCCCATTCGATACATTCCTTGATAAGATCTATTTCACGGCCTGTCCCAGCCTCTAAATCCAAGAATAGATCAACAAGAGAACGCACTAAGCGACCAGCTTTTGCTTTGCTGATCTGGGCCAAGAACGGACGTGTTAACAGGATTAAATCTGCCAATTCTGAAATAGCAAAGACAGGGTAATATGTAACAATAATATGACATATAGAATATAAATGAATAATTGCCAGCACACCTTTTGCCATTTTTTTGTTTGAGTAAATGTTACCGAGTTCGGAAATAGCATTTTCTTTTTCACGAATACCCTCTTCGTCATTATCAAGAACTTGTCTTTCAACTAACACACATAAACGTTTAAGATAATATAATTACCAATGGAAAGATATTTTTCAATAAGGGCTGGTTCGCCACAAGGTCGATTTGGCGAAAACCTATAACCAACGGCTGAAGTCATATTTATTGAATTGAGAGGGAAAGCGATGATCTAACCAAACATAAAATGTTAAAACTATTTAACTTTTTAAAAATCATAACATTATTTTTTCTGAAATTTTATTTTGAAAATATTTTTAAGAATAAACACGAAAACATCAACAAAGGACGATTGTTTGTTTTCATCATCTTTTTTGATAAGCGGGTGTTTTGTTAAGCATCCCTTCCCTAGGTTCTCTTCGATTGCACATTTGTTCCAATATGAGCTCGGAAGAAATTAGCAAGGCTATGGGATTTAGCTCATTTTCGAGCAATAAGACAGCTAAGAAGTTTGACTTTATGGAGATGTTTAATGAGTCTCGAAACATTGCAAAACAGCGTAACGAGGAGGGAAATAAGAAGCTAGATGGTAGTTTTTTATTGTCAGTATTTCATAAGATTTTAGAAGAAGCTGCTAAGCTAAATGAGGAAGTTAAGATTGATGAAGTGACCGATAGCTTGAAAGCGACAGAGGAAGAAAAGGAAGAATCTGATCATGATGACGATGATTTTGAAGTCCCCACTTCTTCGGACCAACCTGATGATCCTTATTTTATTCCAATGGCTGAGCATCTTTTATTTAATCATGGCCCCAAACCAGTTACAGCGGTTGCCTTAGATCCTTCTGGCTCTCGTGTTGCTACAAGCGGCTTTGACTTCGACGTCAAACTTTGGGATTTCTCTGGTATGGATAAGAGCTGTCGAGCCTTCAAGATTTTTCAACCTACAGCCGATCAGCAAGTTAAACACATCGAGTTTAGCCCTACTGGTGATAACATGCTAGTCATAACAGGATGTCCTCAGGCAAAAATCTTTACCCGTGATGCTGAGCCATATTGTGAAACTATACGTGGTTATCAATACATTACTGATCCTGCCAGTGCAAAGGGTCATACTCATGCTCTTAATGGAGGCACATGGCACCCAATTGATAGCAGAAAATTCTTAACTTGGTCTCAAGATACCACCCTCCGTGTTTGGGAGATTGATACTGCAGAACAGATTATGGATGATACCAGAATTCCAAGTCATTCAGTCGTTCTAAAACCCCGAAACAAGCAGGGTCGTAAGACTACACCGACCGCTGGAGCTTATTCCAAAGATGGTCTCTTAATCGCGGCCGGGTGCGAAGATGGATCATTGCAAATCTGGGACACTAGGCGTCCCTTGGTGAACACCTCACTCCTCTACAGAACAGCTCATCCTGTTGGCACGTTCACAACTAGTCTCTGTTTTTCGTGGGATGGTCGTTGTATTGCTTCTCGTGCTATGGATGACACGGTGAAGCTTTGGGATTTGCGTGCTCTGGCAAAGGGGCCCGTTCATTCTGCAGGTGACTTGCCAGTGCTATTTGAACAGACAGAGGTGTGCTTCAGTCCAAATGATACTATGATTGCTACAGCTGTTTCGGCTAGACGTGAAGATCCGAAGAGTGGAGAAGTGGTTATTTTCAGAAAGGACACATTTGAGGTATGTTCCCATTTTTTAGTTTTTAATTCAATTTATTATTTATTTATTAAGTATTATGACGATTTTAATAGTGATTTTCTCTCTAACGTGTTTTATTGGCCGCCTCTTAGCTTCAGTAAATAAATTTTTCGTCTAGATTCTATGAATTTTTATCGATATCTCTAAACTGGACCTTTTGCTATAAATCATTAGTTAAAGGATATCTGCTTTTGAAAATATCTGTCATATTTCTCGTTACTATTTTTGACCATTTCTTCTATTTATACATTTTTTAACAATGCACATTAAGTTCTGGAAATGTGAAGAAGTTGGTCTAGATGATCTTTACATAGACTTTCGGAGACATGATGTTCATTGTGATCCTTTTCATTCAGATACATTGTCTAGTTCAACATTTATTCAGTTTATTTTGTTAAATTCCATACTGTGAAAGTTAAGATTATTGCCTTATGCCCTATTTAGGACTTACGTTAGCCAACTTTCGATTGATTTCGATATTTCAGGATATTCTAGATCTAGTTGTGCGCTAATCATATCTCTTAGCTGATAAATTTGGCCAAGCTTAGTTTTGTTTCTTGAATTATTTCTGCAGGATATTCACCACCACAAACCTGGTCGCGGTAGCGCAATTCGAGTGACCTGGCATCCTCGGATCCGTCAAATTATTACCACATTCTCAGACGGCACCGCCACAGTTCACTTCGATTCGTCTCATTCCCGAAACGGGGCTCTCATATGCGCCTATCGTCAAGCCTCTGAGACAAGTCGCAGACGTCGACAAGGTTATGGTTCATCCTCAGACGCCTTCATCAAACCTACTCTACTCACTTTCGATGAGGACTCAGTTCGTGTTGCGCGCAAAATGCGTCGTCGATTTGGCAATTTGGAAGATGAGAGCAAGTTGGCAGTTGCAGCTGCTATTGCCTCGTACGAAAAAGACTCCATTGCGGGTAAAGAGGCAGCAAGAAATGAGGCCAAAAAACGAGTTCCAAATTCGGGTGAGGACGTGGGACAGAGAGTTGGTTCTCTGCACAAGTACATGGTTCAACAGATTGCTCTGCGTAAGAATGATGCTGATGAAAGGGCCGAGAAGGACATAAGAGGAGCAATCTTGCAACATGCCGATGCCGCTAAGAAAAACCCATTCTGGACTAAGGCTTATCTCAAGTATTTATTTCAATACCATTTCTACTTATGGATAAACAATAGGTTCATTGGTTTACTTTATATTTCAGGACACAACCGAATCCGATATTCCAGCAGGATGAAGCCACTTCTTCGAAGAAACCGAAAACTTCTTAAATATTTTAAATCCACTGATTTCATGTATAGTGGTGCTTTTGTACAGTTTTTTTGTGTTAATAATATTTACAAATTAAAAGTTTTTTTGATGTGCTCTTTACGCATTTTCTTGAATGTGCGCAGTGTTTTGCTGTGTCACAGTCAGAATGGGCAAATTAAGATTCTGAATTGAAATAAAACGTAACTGAAGAAAATTTAACCGGTATTTGTTCAAATTTTGAACGTCAAATTACGTTTTGAGGTAGGTACGGCACAGCAGATGCTTCGCCAGATTAATCGCCATCCTTGTGGACCTAATGTAAATCTTTCACCCAGCGAAAAGCTAAATTTATCCAAGTACTTCCCTCCTAGTGCTTGCTTTCTTGGTTCTCCATATCCTCTTCCCATCTGTAGCGAATACTACTTAAGTAAGCCTTGACCGAAGCTCATTAATTCTCCCTGTTGCAATCTTTTGGCATAAAGAGGCCTTTCTAAACTATTTAGGCTCCTAGTCTAGTCATTAGATGATACGTAGATGTGAAGAGTGTACAACACTGCCAAAGGCGCACTAGAATATTCAAGTAAGTGCGCCTCGTTATCGATCGAGCAGCGGGCAAATACGGTCGTGGGTTCATAGATCTCCTCAGTTAAACAGTTAATAAAATTCATTCCTTCATGAGTTAGGTGCGTTCAGACACAAACCATTACTGTAGTTCTACGATAAACGCTCCTTGCATTCTGCTCACGTAGCCATGATAATTCTAGGATCAATCTTATACCGGAAGATTTTGTCAGGGGTTTAGTCGAGGTTCCTTTAGGTAACACCTAAATGCAGCATTTTCTCATCATCATTACTAATTTGTAGTTGAACGGAAAAAATTTCCTTCCCAATTGGGAACGTTTTTGGTAAATTCATGATTTCTTTCTCTAATTAACAGTTAATAATTCGGGGACAATGACATAACTGCGGCATACTTTTTCACTGATTTTACCAATTCTAGAGTTTTAAAATATGCAAATAAATCGAAAAATTGAATACGTAATGACGATTATCTCTAAATGATATCTCCACTTCGATGTTAGCCTCGTATTTGTACTTACAATATCTCAACTATAATTACTTAAATAATTATAAAATACTTATTTATATCAAAGGGCAGGCGTTTTGATGGTTATCATTAAGACTTCAGGCTTCACAGAGAGGAAGGAACATCAAAGTGAATAAAAGTCGAGAGGGAAGGGGGGGGGGACAGAAGAGTGTTTCAAAGATGTAAAAGAGACTTACACAAAGGTAGAAAAAAGGTGAGATGAGTACTGTGAAGGTCGTGGAATATGACATACAGTGGGGTCATGATAGCTTGAAGTCAGAAGTCAACTGCCGGTTTATAGACTTTTTTACCATATGAGTATACGTTGCCCAGGGTGCACCACGTGGAGGTAAGTCTATCGCTCACCCTTGGTAAAATTTATTGTACGTCATCAGGGTTCCACTTGAGACAATTCTATTATTATTAGTGCGATGCAAAATCTTGCCAGTATCTTACCTGATAAAAGACAAATGGGTTCAGGTGGTATATGTAACCATCGGAATTAACTAACTGGTTGATAAGCGAACTTAAAAGCATTCAGGAACGGAGGGGAAAATTGGAAAATCGATATTTAGAACATAAAACAGTTAACATTTGATCTGATCTAGATGATCAACGGAATAGCTATTATTACAATTTCTTGCCTGTTATCTTTAAATCCTTACCGAACTACTTTACAAAGTCCCGTCGCAGGTGCCTCAACACGTCTCAACATGTTTAGGGAGATCCTTGCCTGTTCATTGGGTGTGATTTCATGGAATCATATCGTGAAGGCTCATTTTGAAAACCATGCTGTCATTTTGCATATTTCTTAATTTACAATGCTTGCATCCACCTTAATTTGTATTCTCGCTGATGTAATTTTTTCAACTCATTCCACCATGGCGTTCGTTGGAAGTTTAATGGGAAGGATAAACATCTTGATGAGGAGTGTGCACCCTGGGCAACGTATATCCATACGGCAAAAGAGTCTATTAACTGGCAGTTGACTTCTCACTTCAAACTACCATGACCCCACCGTATGGCATATTCGACCACTGCCACGATACTCACCTTTTTTCTGCCTTTGTGTTTGCCTGTCTGTCTCTTTTACATCTGTGAATCACTCTTCCTTTCCCTCCATCTTTACTTCTTCTCACTTTGCCTATTCCTCCTCCTCTCTTTGAAGCCTGAAGTCAGCTAAAGGGCTAATGATAGCTATCAAAATGCCTGCCATTTGAAATAAATAAATAAATAAATAACATCTGGATGATTTCTGTGGACTCTATAAGGGAGTCGAGTGAACACACTGAATTTTCCCCAATGAACAAAACGTATGCACAGTGTTGCGTTGACTGTTAGTGACTGAATCTGCCCAAAATTCAGTAAACTTTATTTTTCAGGACGGCGCATTTAGCAAGAGCAAATGTCTGTAGATATTTTGTAACTCAGTGTTACTTCTAAAATAAGGGGTGTGCGATAGACTAACCTCCACGTGGTGCACCCTGAGCAACGTATACTCATACCCAAATAGTCCATAAACCGGCAGTTAATTTCTGACTTCTAACTAC